GCGGATTCGGTTTAATGCTCCTTTCTGGAGGCATTTTTTCTTGATTCTCAAGCCCACCATAGCGTTTCGAAAGAAGGCAGGTTATCACGATCTCATAATAACGGCCGTCATGGTCATTATAAAATTCTTATTAATAGCAGTGGCCGTATACCGCACATTATTTGCCACTCGGGGACTTTCCAACGTTGGAACGGAAGTTGGTTACAGGAAATCTGTAGCTGGCTTGCGCTCAACCTTTCTTCTGGGGCCCCTGAGTATGTCTACACAATATATTAGTGACGCGTCACGGTGCCATCATACGCGCGGGCTATCTGCTTATTTTTACTACAGCATTCTGTGCTAATGACTCTGTCTTGAACATGGCATGTCAAAGACAGAGTCATTAGCACAGAATGCTGTAGTAAAAATAAGCAGATAGCCCGCGCGTATGATGGCACCGTGACGCGTCACTAATATATTGTGTAGACATACTCAGGGGCCCCAGAAGAAAGGTTGAGCGCAAGCCAGCTACAGATTTCCTGTAACCAACTTCCGTTCCAACGTTGGAAAGTCCCCGAGTGGCAAATGATGTGCGGTATACGGCCACTGCTATTAATAAGAATTTTATAATGACCATGACGGCCGTTATTATGAGATCGTGATAACCTGCCTTCTTTCGAAACGCTATGGTGGGCTTGAGAATCAAGAAAAAATGCCTCCAGAAAGGAGCATTAAACCGAATCCGCCACTTAAGCAATTAAAACACAATGGGTGGTTTACGTAGAATTTATTCGATACTTCAATCGCAGTGGTAGTCGTCCAGACTGTGGCCCACGCCTCTGGGGTTTCTCGCTTCCTCGGCATCCGTTAGAGGCTCCGAAACGCGTTTTCCAGATTCTAAACGAAAACGCGGACCACTCAATTGTTCAGGGAACAGAAGAATTCCCGTACGGAACACTACATTTGTTACAGACTACGATAGCAATCCAAGGTGCGCAACATGATTTATTGAATTACCGGTAAAATGGCAGGCGAGAGCTGAATGTTCGTTGAACAAATGTTAACCCGATTTCCAAAAATCTTATTAGCTAAGCAGAGTATAAATGCAGAATTACTGTGACGAATGAAAAAATATGGAGTTCAGCGCATGAAAAATTATCTTTTGTGTAAACCTAGTCACAAGGCTATCCAATGGCCTACTTTTTGGAGACCGTGACCGAAAAACCTAAGCCTGAATTACGCGCAATACAAAACACCCAAAAAATTCATCGAAATGGCATATGTCTGAACAGCTTACGGGTTTCTCAATGCTTCAAGCAATTTATCCTCTTTCACCTATATTTTCTCCTCATATCCCCTTGTTTTTGGAAGATTTGGGTGTACGTCTAACAATGCACAGGTGGAACGCTCAAATGAAGACACCATTTGAAGCATTGCAAGATTATGAAACAACATCGGAATGCGTGGGTTAGCTTTTCGATCAGCGTCAGCCTGTATGGGACAGAATACCGTGCAAAGTTGCGCCTACGAGTAAACGGATTTTTTAGTCTCAGATTTGACGGTTTCTTCGGATAATGGACTACCAAGAACAAACTTCTACGTGAGTCAGTGTATTCAGGGTGGAAAAGTGAGGTTGCCTGCTGTGGTAAAAACCCCGCAACGTCCTTCATGAATTGGAGGGAGCCATGTTCACTACACCTCTATACTAGACTGAGCGGAACATGAACTGACCTTAAAAGCGCGCGGTATAACACTCTTATATGGATTGAATTTTAACGAATTTTACAAACGGAACATTGGGAGGATAGTAATTCGACTTCAACAGTCTGCGTAGGAATGTGAGGCAAAGGTCAACTGTTAATTGTGAAAGCAACATTATTGCGATGCGTGTGTGGCTAAAACAACTTTATTTTATTTGGGCTCTGTAAAATTTTGGAACGACTCCCAGACTTACAAGTGCAGTGCTAAATCAGAGGTTGTGTCCGCTAGGTTCCTTTCCAGTTTCACTGTATTGTTTGATGCGAACACAGACCCCTGCGTCTTTTGCTGTCGTCACTTAATCTGAACCTGTTAATCGTGAATTACTCCATCGTCATCATCGACATCGTAACATCAACACCGATACTTCACTGCTGTACAACCATGGCTTATTTGAAAGCCTTATTGTAAAGAAAAGAGAGGTTGAACTGGGAAGGGACTCAATGCTAGCTTACTACAGTTATTCCGAGGTGCATACACCTCGAGACATTCACTCAGGCAATTTGGATTGAAACTGACATTATTCACTCTACTGGCATGGGTTGGCAGTCATATCTTGTAATGCCTCGAAACAGGCGCAGTGGGGATCACGCGATGCCTAGCCTGGAAGGCGAGTAGCACCGACAGCACCCAAGCGTTTCGTAACCCCCCGCGGATCATACCGTCAATAGAGGGTCTATTTGCCTCCAGTTTTCTGTAATACAGGTTGTGCATGAGTGATTCCCCCAATCTTGGCCTCGTTCTGGTCCCATATCCATACACGGAAGTCGGTTTGCTGTCCTTACGTCCCAGTTTACACAAAAGAGAACTGTGGTCTGTCGGGGCGGGTGGTGTGTCATAAGTGAAATCAGCTACTCAGTGCTGAACACGCTTACATCTGCAGATGTCGACTGTATACAAAGTTCCATATCCAGACCATTTACTTCCAATGTACCGTGTCTCCATCGTTCCAGCGTCTTATCTTGATGGAAAAGGCTCCAACCGGTTAAATACGCCCACGCACTGAAAGCGGTTTTGTTATCTGCGGGTGGTTGTAAGAGTGCCCTCTCACCGGAGGAGTCTTTCAGGATTTGAGCTCCGAAGACGTAAACAATTAATGCAATGGCGGATATAAAGTCACGAAAACCCGTGGAGGAAATAGAGCTACATGCTGCGGATTTGTAGGTTATTCAAAGAATATCCAATGCAAGATGGAGCTCATTGTTGCCGCTAGCACGGCAAATACTTCTATAGATAAATAATGCACGTAATCTGCGCAAGTTACTTGAACGGGTTAAAATGATGACATGTACCAGTACATTACCGAACTTGCTGATGCCTGGATATTAGTTGACATTCGTGACACTAAACTCCGACTCTGCATACATGATGCTTCGCGTTGACAGGATTGATGACGGGACTGAAGGTGGTGTGATTTTATACTGTCGTCCATCTCTAACCGATTTTAAGACATTTCAGCAAACTAGAAGGAGAAGCTGTTTGGTGTCCTATAAACACTTAAAGAGGTACATCAGCGTCATGTGCATGTCCAAATTTACAGTTGACTGTGACAATAGGTCAACTCTAGCGCACGGTCTGCCTCGCAGTTTGCGACTTTGGTGCTCCAAGGATTTATTGGTATAAGCTTAATGCGTCAGAGCTGGGTACCTGGTTCTTCTCCAAATGGTTGGAAATGTAGTCAATCTGGTCCATCCCTTATGATCCCCAACTAGACAACGGCCTGGACAGACCAGTGATATCCTAGACCTCGCACTGTCACCTATAAGATTGGATGCTGACGAATTGGTTCACTACCAACCCCTAGGTATACTGACAGGATAGGAGCCTTGTAAACCCTTTAATCCATGTAGGAATGTCTGTTTCTCTAATTTAATAGCAATAATATAAGGGGCCAACTAGCTCATCTGACAGATTCCGGATGATCTCAACGGGGCGCTCTCAACAACTGTATACCCGGTTCACCCTAATGTACAGTAGACGGCAGCTCCCCCAGAGCCCACTATGAATGGACTGTGGGTTGTGCTTGCGGGGCCACAATGTTTGCACATATCACTGTATGCTATTAATGCAGTAAGCGTGGATCGACGCCATCCGAGAAACCTGCAGCTGCTGCAAAACGTTTGGTTGCATATCTGAGGTGAAGAATGATAGCGGAGAATACTGTTCATTCGCTACCACTACCAAATCATATTATTTGCTTGATGAAGAATCTGACAAGGTCAACAAGACATTTTTGTTGACAAAAGGCTACCTCATGAGCCGTCACAAACAGTTGTAAGTCAGAAACATCAGGTTTCGGATTCAAACCAGCGGGAATCAAGAAAATCCTCAAGAACCTGGATGAATGGTCAGTTTTTTTGTGGAAGTGGATGACTCGCATTCACGAATAGTGCAAGCTTTGGGAGTACAGTAGACGGCCGATTGTATCAACTTTTCTGATGATTCATTAGTGGAAGTCACATACTCCATGAATAATAATAATCATTCTGCTACGACACCCTTTCATTGCCTACCGGTCATGCCGCCCAAAGGGTGGTGGCATTTCACGACGGTAAGTGTTCAAGCATTTCATAGAAGCGCGATCCGATGGTCATGGGTGTTCGCCAAAAGCCAATTAGGCAGCCTGAATCACTGTCAAAAGTGCCATTTCAATACCACGAGGCCCCTTGTAACTTTTGCACCCGCTTGTTCGCAATGAAGCTGTTTTTTCCTTGCTGGTGACTCATTATCCGACACTAAGGCTCTGCAGTGGGGACAAGAAGAGTGAAGAGAGAAGAGTGTTTGAGGGGGGACATAATGCCATCCTATGTCGAGCATTGGGAAGTACCTACCCCTCAAAAGTCAAACAATCTGGAAATAAACTATCAACACGAGCGCCGCTGACGTCAGAGAGTTGCCATTTCTTGAAATGCTTCCATACAAGCGCAGAGGGGGTCACGGGGACCCCATCTTGGAAGGCATACTGCCCCAACAATACCATGCTCTTCGTGATCGCTTTCACAACCTTCTGCCAAATCATACGTTGTCCACTTCGCGATCTCCTCCATTCTGAAGGAGCCAGAGTACAACACTCATCTGGGTAGACCGTGTTTCAGCATGCGCAACCGAGCCACTGTAGCTGATGGTGCTGGATGTTTTTCGCGATGGAAGTACCTGTTGCTCAACCAAATACTCAGTTTCCAATCACTTCGTCACCAGTTTGTTGACGCCATCCGACACCAGCAACGCTTATGAGACATCACTGGTAAAAAACTGAAGACGACTCTTATCAGCCATTCAACAATACAGCCCTTACCGTGGTTCAGTGGTTAGAGTGCGAATTTGCCGTCCGTGGTTCGAACCCGACCTCTAGCTCTCGACTTCCTCTGTCTAGACTTGGCAGTATCCCAGTAGTGCTTCCCTCTGGTGGCATGGCTATTAGACACCGAAAAGGTGCTACAGCTGAAAGGTAATGTGATCTAATGCACATGACCCTTGAGACCCAGTGATAGGTCGTTTTGACGCCACAATCCACGCAAATTAGAAAACGTGATTTGGAACTGTGAGATTCGTACACTCACTTCATCAGACACAATTGTCAGAGCTAATATAACTAAAGAGGTATGTAAAAGTCTCCACGACCTCCAGTGGTTCTATTTGAATTGTAAGTGTTATGTTCCGAGACTGCACGTTATCAAGTCTTACTTTTCACTTTGAAGGTACTAGGCGCGTGACGAACGATGGTGTGATGGTGGCCCGTTCATCCAATATCACGTGCTTCGTCTTCAAAGATGAGGACGATGTCGTCAAAGGATCCAAAGTATTGCGCCGAGGCTGATTGTGGGGATCCTCTGCCGAATGAACGAGCCCTACGCGCTACATTAGTTTCGAGCTTTACTGTCATCAGAGGTCGCCGGTAGTTTTTATACTCTGGATATGCGCCGCAACGATGTTATTGCTACCGCATTAGCGCGAGCACCCGAATTGCTACATCTGAAGATACAAACGTTTTTGCACTCCACTGATGTGCTTGGCTTGTCTTCTGAAACACCTCGCGCTGGAACCACGTGCCTGTTCTACATGCACAATTTTGGACAGCTCTTGTCGCTGGACACATTCTTTGAAATTTTTGTTGAACAACCTAAAGTTCAGTTAGCAAATGTCCCGTTACGGATTCGCTGATACAGGCCTTCACGAACCATGGTTCTGTGACAATGGATGTCAAAAACCAGCGTGTGTCTCAGTTCTGCTACTCGAAGAGGTCATGTCCCGCATTCATTTAACGTCAGTGTCCGAACTGTAGCCTGATCCACACACAACCCTTGAGATATGCCGGCTTGTCGTTATAGGTGTCTCGAATTGGGAAACGCCTTATGGGTTTGTGCGCTAACCTCATCTGTCACACCACAAAAAGTAGAAGAGGCCCGGGAAGTCTGGAATTCCCGAAAATTATTTCGGTTGACCAATGCGACCGGCCCCGGAAACTACGTTGGCGAAACTATCAAGGATCAGACTAGAATTGACCATCTTGAACAAAGGAGAACGCTTCGACCGTTGGTTCAAATACTTCGAACAACAATTCCCGTGACAACAAGCTGTCACTCATTTGGAGCTTACGGCTGACGTAGAATCTTGGTCGTGAGACGTGGAACGCTCTACAGACACGAAGATTTGTGACTGCATATGTTCCCTCAAGCGCCACTGACTGTCTGGTCCCGATGATCCCCACCCGCATTGTTCAAGGGTGGGGGTTAATTCCTCAGTCATGGCTTGTTCGATCGGGACCAGCCAGGATATTTCCAGAGATTCAAGCATTACCACTGTTCGGTCTGATATCCAGTGCTTGAGTGGGCCTGGCAATGCCGTCCCACAGGAAAAGTGGTGGTGATCTCGTCCCAGTACGAATTATGGAGCGGTTGAAAGAGACTCCGGAATACGATTCTAGTAGATTCACGTAACTTCCTGATTTGCCAGTCTCTTAGTCGCCAAGATATTTGTCCGAACCTTGTGCCGTCCTGGAAAATGAAGCGAGAAGCGGCTGTGGATGGGCCCGTGGTCGGAATTCACAAATGTGTTCTAAAACGAGCGGCAGCCACTTATTCATCCAAGCCATCGGTAACTGATGGCAATGTAACCAACTTGAGTTCTTAGCCGGTGCACCATTATGGGACATCATGTGGCCGGACGACTTCGGCTATTTCGGACGTTAGTACTGCATAAAAACAGCCTGCGGTCGGCACATGGCTGAAGCAATCGTTCACCATTGTCCGAACGTATCGAGTCCAGTCCACACCAGTGAAGCAGTGAAGCATCAGTGCCAACACTGATGTTGCTTTCTTTGATGATGATGATGAGTCCAGTCCACGTCCACCTAATTGAGCCCTAGATTCGCTAAGCCTGCCGTCTTGTGCAGTCATATCTCCAGCAACCACGATATCTGAGCTTTTATCACGCTGCAACAAATCATTCAAAGCGTCATAAAACTTGTCTTTGATGGTGTCAGAGCTACAGTCATTGGAGGCGTAAGCATGCACGACTGTCAACGGGTGTCTGGATCCTTCTGCCTAGAATGAAAATACCGCCAGCTTAGTCTACGTCGGAGATCCTCGTATCGAGAGGTGGTCAAACGTTAGATGGCTTGTTAAATTTGTCAGTAATATCTCTGTGAGGTCCGAAGCTCACTATCTCTGTACAGTAGCACCAAAGCCACGTTCTTTGTCTTTGGGCTAAGTGGATATCGCTGTCAAGCTAGCCGTTCTATTCTAGCATCGGTTTCGAAAAGGATATCCCCGGAAAATCTGTGACTCCATCCCCCTTGCGGTTCATATTTTTGAGTCAGTCACTGTGCATTCCCCAAGAAACTTCCCTCAGGCTCGGACGTAGCCTACCTTCACTCTAGGCACTCAGAAATTATCGCACGCCCTCAGGGCTCCTTACCTAACATTTTCCCTTAACTGCATTCCGCAAATATACTTCGTTTGATCATATGCCTGAACATTAGTCACTTAGGGTTTAGTGTACTGCTTACTAACATTGATGATTCGTTCCTTCTGTCTAGGAACTACCCTAACTGCATGTTGAATTAGAAAATGCATCTTACGTCCGGAATTCATTTTCTGTTATTATTGCCCCATATTGGGTATTTGAAAGACGTTTACAAGACTTGTACCTTTTTTCCACCTTACATCATCCTATGTAAATCCAGGTTTATCACATTTCACCCTCTGCGCCTCTGGTGATCCTAAAACGGTGGCTCGCTATACATGTAGGTTATAAGGGTTGACCTCAACCCTGTGACACCGGACTAAATTGTTGTCCAGCCTAATCAAGATCAGTGCTATTCGACGTGATAAAGATGTTAGTGCTCCGTCAGCTTTGACGTAGAGGAAGATACTTTATTCTTAAGTCTGTTGGATTTATTTTGGCTTGCGGAAAATACTAGCGCAGCGATCGTTGCAGATAGTGTGACCGTCAGGGCCCCGTGAAATCGCCTGTCAGTAGACGATTCGGAGTGTAGTCATCCTATTTTAGTTATGTTATGACCATCATTTGTTTGTCCTCAGCACCATCGCAGCACAAACGCTCATCTGGTATAATCTGATATCCAAGTGGACTCAGATGATAATCAAGACAAGCATCCACTTTCCTTCAGAATTTCTGCACTAGTCTCTACCAGGGGAACACTTAGAACTCGGTAGCCCGAAATGTCATTTGAAATCTTGCTATGAACTATTTCGTTTCAAACTTTCTTTTCAGGGTATATTGCTTAGACACACAGAAGACCTTCCCATATGAATACGTGATAGTTGCAATGAGAAAGTTCGTAAATGTTCTTTTATCGACTTATACCTCACAGAAAACAGTTTGCTTGCCGGATAACTCTTGACGAAGATTTAGCTGAGTCGACATTCCAACGGAGGGAGGAAGATGAAACTAGGCCTGCTGAAATGGATTCGGACCTCAAAGAGAACAGTCCCATCCCTCCTGAGTATCAGTTTGATGCCGAGGGACGAGCCAGTCTACCCGATGGTAATTTTTAAAGCGATTTGTGTTCTCATCTTCAGGAACGCCCGTTGTCGAACCAGTTTCAGTAGATGGTAAAGGAGAACTGCCTCATAAGAAAGCCAAGATTCAGCGTACACTACGGTCATCAAGACTTTCCAACGCTGGTGTACTGGATGTTGTCAGATGTACGGCATGTGCAACCATTTTGCAAATCGCTTTCATGCCTTTGAAAGTTCACCCGGTACTCAGAGTTGTCACTTGCAAGGTACCTTGTTATGTAACTACTGCGACTATTCATGTTCAATTTTAGCGCTGTGCCAAGTTTTACGCGCGCCAAAGTTTTAAACAGGATGGCGAGGGGCATGATGAAAATTGTCGATGGTGTGGAGACGGTGGTGATTTGATCTGTTGTGACACATGTTCGAATGCATTTTGCAAACGTTGCATCAAACGCAACCTCGGGCGCTCAGCCTTAAGCGAACTTGAAGCACTTGGAGACGACGATGTATGGAAGTGCGTGGTTTGTGACCCCAGTCCGATTCGCCGACTCCAAAACCAGTGTTCCGAGGTAGTTTAGTTTGAGTCCTCATTTTCTAAACCCTTATACGCCGCACTATTATGTACATGCTATGAAATCATTCAGCCACTCATCTCAAGATGAGCACTCACGATGCATTAATTTGGTTATCAAAACTACGCCGCACCTCTGCAGAGATTTACCGCTTTATGCGAAGTATGCTGTCCAAAATACGTGCTATTTGGGGATTTACTATACCGCATCTAACAAGTTTGGAACCTTCAAATGTATTTGCTGATAATTATTTGCCCTCAGTTGTTTTTTACTGATTCAGACCACACTAGATGATACATTTGATGAGGACATCTCACATGACCTCTACTCTGTCAATAAACTTCTGCTAACTTCACGGTATTGAGCCAGTAGAACCTTCAGAGTCTGTTAAAACTTCATCGAAGGAGCCAAATTAGCACTTCTGTGGTTACTACACTCACTTTGAGTGCCCTTTTTGAAAATGCGCGCTATTATCGATTCGCCCCAGTTGTTTGGGACGGTCTCCTTCCAGGTGGACCAAATGGGCTGGACACGCACTCGCTTAGAAGCCCACCGCCACACTTGAAGAGAGCTGGTGGACGATCGTCACGACCGGTGGCACGATGACACTCGAGTAGACATATACACTCGACGACTTCTGAGTTTGAAAGTGGCTCCATATTCACAGTCCACTTTTCTGCTGAGGTTCATGATTCCTGATTGTAGGTAGCAGGTGGTCAACCGAATTGTTCGGAGTATTGTGCCCGGTGGTTCAGACGTTCTGCTTTGTTGGCTATCTGGGAGCCATTCCGGTCCCTGATATCTTCGCTGACAGGAGGTTCCCGAGGACCAGTCAGACGGATCAAGGGAACAGCTCACGGCTCCCCTTTGGCATTTTTCGCATCTTCCATTTCTTCGGCCATTCCGGTCCGCCTAGCACAAAAACTCAGCTTCATCTGACTTCGGATGGTCTGTCAGGTTGAGTTGTGGTTTCCGCTTGAAGGAATCTTCCTCTGGGCCTCCAGAAAAGTCATATTCATATCAGAAATCCAATATTTCAATGGGGTTGGCTGGGTTGTATCGCAATTAGAATTTGTGGCTTTGAGTTGCCATGACGATGATAACCACGTAACTTGTGAGCCTGGCCTTCCCTGCTCTCGCACTCTGGTTGATACTTGACTGAGCTCTATCTTTGACTCCCCTGGGTTCCGACTTTTGACCCTCGACGATCTGACTTCAAGGGATTATCTCTTGTTTTGTTAGTCCGGTATTCGGCTGTCCTTTAGTATTGCATGTAGTGGTGCGTTAATTGCATGTAGTTCAATGCATCTCTTGAGCGAATCCACCATGGAGTGCCATGCTTCTAGAAATCCCCTTCCGTGTCTCATATCCCTGTGTGCCAAAATTTTTGCGTTTTCCAGGTTGAATTTTTGGCCTTCTTGATATTCGTTTATGGACATCAAGGATAGTGGTCATGTCTCCTGATGGACGCGTTGTGTTCCTTTATTCGTGTGCATACTTTCCTCCCAGTATCTCCAATGTAGAATTTGTTGCAGTTACTTTGGTAAATCTCATTGTTTCTCTTGGTTTTATCTTAGTTGTCCTTCGGTATTGATATCATTTTCCCTAAAGTAGCATTCGGTTTGTGGGCTACAAGGATTCCATTTTGAGGTAATAATCTGGTTACGAATTGAGCAACATTCTTGATGCAAGGTGTAACTACCCGTCTAGTCATTTGTTCCTTCTGTTGCTATTGCTGAGATTTCTTTTGATAAAGATCCTTGGATCTGGAATGCTCTGAATAAATAGTTTTCTTCCTTCTTCCTTAGTTCTATAGTGTTGCAGTGTCTGCTCTCTCGAACAGGGTTTGAACGCAGCTCTTCTTGTGTATCTTCTTATGTATCCATGCAAAATCCCCACAGCCTGCATAGGCTTTTAGGTTTCACGGTTCCTGTTGTGTTTGGATTAAATCGAAGCAGTACTGCTATTGTTTCTCTGGCGAGTTTTTGGTTGACTTAAGTGAACAGTGATATGACGTCAAATGGGAGCATGATTTTGTCGTGTTCTATATTGAAGTTCTGTAGTTTGTGGAGAAATTGTTGACTGTTCCAGGATGTGAAACGATTGGTCGAAGTGGAGTTCCTTCTTCATGCACCTGTGGTAGTCCGTAGTACTGTGTAATAGTGGTGTCATCGACTTTCATTCTCTATCGTTCCTGGCTAATTACCTCATGTGTTGCAGTTTCCTGAGCCTCGCATTGGTTCGATTGATGAGGTTTAAAGTTGTATCATGACTGATTCACTTGTGGGTCATCCTGTACTTTTGCAGCTGTTCGTCTTTTTTCCAGTGTAATCCCGCTCGTCCATTATAACCGTGTGGTATCCTTTAATCTTCTTGTAGATATCTAGTTGCGTCTCGTTTTTGTGTGGAAATCATTTGCTTGCTTCTATTCCGTGTGATTTCCGGTGTGATTGTCTGTCGGATCTGTTGTTGAACCTCTTCAGACATTTGCTTTGATATCGAGGCGTGTTCCAAGGTGGCTAAGTAATCTTCGTAGGATGATTTTCCGACTTTGAATTTGAGCCCTTTCATTAGAAGCTTTTGTTCAGTTGTGCTAACTTGGCGGTCAGATAAGTTGTGTAGTTTTCGTTTTTGAGGTAATATATTTCCGTTTCCACCATATATTTCATGCTGTGCTCGCATGAGAAGACTTTCGCACATAAAACTCAAACCTCTGTGAATCTAAAATGGTTAGTAGAGCTACGTTTTTCGCAACAGTTTGCGGTCTGCCATTTTAAATGTCATGATTGAGTTGCACGGCTTTCACTCAAGAGTGGTAAAACTACGAAGATCGTTCTTTGACATTAGGGCGACCCCGTATGACTGGACATAGTTTCTACCAGAAGTCTTTGGCAATCGACCTACCCATCCCATGCCCTTCACTTCGCCTATACTACAAAATGAGTTCACCTCCGTGCGCCTGACATGAGTTGGTGGCTTTTGAAAAAGAGGTACTCGGGACCCGACTTTAGTCCCCAACAGCAGTTCCGTTAGTTTTGTTAGGTGAGTTTCTGAAAGAAAGGTAATCGTTCACCTGTGTCATCTTTTCGGCAAATTGGTAACAAACAAATGGAAGGGAATCGGAGGTTTTGAATACCGCTAGATTGTTCAGGCTGTGATCCTATACTTTTCGATGTTTGGCCTGGCCTGTTTCGCACTGCTGATTAATTCCAGGTAGGTTTGCTTCTCAGTCTTATCAGTGGATTTATCTACTGTATGCCTACCACGCTTGCTTGATGCCCGATCACGAACCTAAAGTCACTGGTGAGTCAAATGAGAATGAGTGTAGATCGTTCTAGCTCGTCAGTGCTGTTCAGGGCCGCCATTCGTTCATTAACTCGCGTCCATGGAACTGTGCAACCGGGATTATATGGATTTCAGTGTGGGTGAACTTGTATCTTACTGCGTTACCATGTTGAGGATTGTTATATCGACGGTGTTCACGGTCTCCTTATTAAGTATAATTTATTCGCCTTAGCATACATGTAGATATCAATGTACCTTTGTAGGTTATGAAGGAGGTGAAGGAATTTCGTGCATTTCAAAGACTTCGTAACGAGAAGCGTCAAGAAGACAACAGAATTCGAGTTCCGACTACAGAACAGAAGCCTATCAAACCGAATGAGGGTGTAGAATCATCCTCAACAACCTCGACGCTGGATCAATGCTCCTCACAGTGCGCTTCACAATCAACTCCACTGGACACGCTTTCAAGTAAGTTCCACCGAGTTTACCCGCTTATTGGCAAAGTAGATAGTCTTGTGGTTCGTAATTTTTGCTATCCGTTGATTTATGAGTACCACAGTAATTGTTCCAGTGGCGTTGGCGGAATTTCTGGGTTTCATTTCAACTTTTACACCATTGTTCGTTGTTTGCTGACGCCAATATGGAGAAAAACTCAGATAGCCATTGTATGGTTTGATACTAGGGGTGCTCAAACCTCAGTGAAAGGCAAACACCTGTTGGTCCCTCTCACCCTCCATCTTGCCGACTATGCACTGGGTTAAAGTGCCAGTTTTTTGTCAACATTCCTTGCTTCCCTAATTGTCACAACGCTGAATACTTTCGTCCTAGCTTCTCCTTTTCTGTCAGATGTGATGCAGTTGCATTTCAGCCTGATTTCTTCCAACTATCACACACAAACACGGGATTATGTTCTCGTATTCTGTCTGACAAGCGCCTTGACGTACGTCTAATGTCTGAAACTGGGCACGAGCACACATGATTACACACAGGAGCCGGTGGTAGAACGTGGCAATTAGTCCTTCAGTCGGGACTGATGATGGGCCTGAAACGGAAAGTTAAACACAGATTAGTGACACTGTATGTCGTATCAATAGAAATTCTGTGCCCCATGGTAACTAGTTCAGCAACTGAGTCACCTTTCACGGGAGCCTGATGTAGATGGGCATTTTCCAAACTGAACGTTGTTTTGATTTACGCTTTACAGATTACACTGTTTTGCGTACGAACCGTTCAGTGCATCCGTTCTGCCAGAATGTGCTTCTCAAAAGCTTTAGCTCCTTTTATAAACAGCCGGAGGAGCATATCTTTGGCGAACTCTCAACTATGCATCTGACTAGATCAAGTTTCTGTTGTGATGGATGAAAGCTATCAAAATGAAAAACTAGCACTTCCAGGCTTGTTCTCTGTAGACTTTACGCTCTATAGTCCCGTGGATCCTTTTTCGAATACTGACAACAAGTAAACTATCCGTTCTATTGGGGCCCGATAATAAGTTCGATATTAGTATGAACTGAATTGAAACTGCTCAGCGTTTCTGTTGTGCTGATAGTTTTGTCGGCAAGTACGAGGATGTCACTCACTTAACGACAATACAGTGTGAACTGCGAAATGAGAGTGTTTGATTTTTGGACCTCAAGCTTGGTCAGTAAAAAGATCTTCCCTCTTTTTGTTTAACTACTACACCAAATATAAGTAACAGATTGAATCCCCCAAAGACTACCCACAGCCCCAGGTCTGCCATCAACCGTGTGGATATCATTCGGTTGTTCGCCAATGCTCTCTCAGTGATTCGCTAACTAATGCATCCAGCCAGTTTGGAGAATCTTCATCTGCATTTAGATAAACTAACTTACCTAACATTATCTAATTCTTTTCCGACTCCTGAGGATCTCAACTCAAATGACCTGTCCAGATAAATTGTGGAGCGGGATCTCCATGATGACGATATTTGCCGAGCTAATCCCGGATGCAGTCTGGTGGACGTGGACGAGTTGCTTCGAAACTGACATCTTCAAGCAGTGTATGAATTACTGTTTCGGATCCTAGTCCACTTGCAACAGTCGTTTGTTGGTATGCCTTCATCGTCAGTGCAATCAACCCAGTTGGTTGTTTTGTTCAAATACCCCACGGAGACACTCCATTTGAATCTGGGGTTGATTTCATGATTTCTACAAAGAGCCTCGTAATAATCCTCATAGCTTGCTTTGACACTGGTTAGGTCGACATGACTTTACAAACTAGGTGCTACCTCACTACTGAAGTTTTGGTTCACGTCACACGCTCACCCACATACTGTGTGCGCTGCGCTGATACCCTGCTGGTTAATATGGAAGAAATGGCTTACGCATCAACCCTCTTTTTTACGCGAAAATGGCTTCACAACAGTTGTGCATCACTTAGCACGCAAATGCATTATTTTTTAGTTGAATAGATATTTTTTCCACAATTTCTACCTCTGCTTTATTTGTAATCCACACGTGCCTTTTCATAATGTCCTCCACTTTCAGATTTGTTCGCTCAACTGGGCCAATCAGCTCTGCAACAGAGTGCGTCAGAACCAATACCACCTTCCACCCTGACAAATTTTCTGCAGTGTCTCGGACAAACTATTAATCCCCCTACTGACCCAACTGTTGCACAATCACGATGGTCAGGTATTCGTCCTCATATCGGAACAGTGTCTCCCAAGGTCCGCCATTGCAATTTGGGTTATCTACCCGTGGCGCCCACTCCCATCCATTCGGTGACACAAACAACGAGCGTACAACCAAAACCAGTGACCTGTGTTCCCGTTACGCCGGCAGAAGTGACACCTGCGCCAACAGCCAGTTTTGATGTTTTGTCCATTTTAACTCAAATCAATAATGTGAACGTCGATAATATCCGTGTTGCCCTCAGAGCCACCAGGCGTTGTATCGAGACGTTCTCATCAGATATACGCCAGTTGGAAACTAGGTCGGCGAAAGCCTCTCACCCTGGTGAGCTACCACCGATTGTTCGAGCTTTTCAGAGCTCATATCGCTTTCATCTGTTTGCTCGTTTGGCCAATCTGGAAGCTCGGATGCGTGAAGAAGTTCCTCGGCCACTGAACACGTCGACGGTCACCTTAAAAATGGGACCAAATCTTGGCTTATCTTCATTGAGTAGAAAGACTGTGGCTAACTCCAGATCTCGATACAAACCTGTGACTATTGACCTAACTCATGATAATCCGGCACCTGTTGCAAAGAATCCGAGTTCCGCCACACCAACTAGCTCGGCTTCCGTTGTTGCCACAGCTGCCGCAGAATCCAAAAGCAGTACTTTCCCCGTCATTTCAGACGCTACCACTGAAACTATACCTCGGTCTCAGGAAATTCTGGATTTGTCTTCAAACGAATCCGATGCATCAACCGCAAATCCCATGTCCGTGAAGATCTACGAACCTGCTTCAAAGCGAATCCGGGTTGATGGGGAAGAATCGCTCGCCACTTCTAGCACTAAGGGAATTGATCCGAACCGCAACTCCGGAGAAAATAGGCCAATCACCCTCAAAACCGAGACAAGCGATCGGTCGCTTGGCGCTCAACCTTCTCTGGTTGTTGTGAATGAGCCACAGCTGAACAAGGACTCGTTTACAGCGACAGCAAACCGTCAAATTAAAACAGAACTAGCTGAAGAGGCTCCTCAGAGAGTGGAAACGATACGTGACCTGAATGAACAGGAAAATTCAACGAACTCCAGTTTCATTAAAGGAACAGAAACACTCAAAAATGGTGAGTATTCTCTTCAGTGAGTTTCAGCGGTCCTTATTATATCAACAGCTTAATAGGCTAATGATGCTCCCTCTAGTCTTAACAGTTATGTCTTCCCCAATAGAATGGTGATGATTTTGCTCCATTTAATTTTGAGACCTGAATTGATGATAATTGCCACCTGGCTTTGCAGAAGGATGTATTTTTGAATGTCCTCTCCTATTGGGGATTTAGGCGTGTCGATAGGCGTTTCAAGCTGTTCCAGTAGTTGTCACGATGGTGTGGTGTTCGAGGTATGTAATATTATCAATGGTTCGCCTACACATTCATTGGGACATAGTTACACTCATGTAGGGATCTTTGAACGTGAAAAATGAATGGCTTGCGGGTGCCACTTTGTCGGTGCGCAACTGGACCATTTCACTCCTCTATCTTGGCATGATGTCGGATCAGTTCGTTGTATGTAGCTATAGTACAGTCCTTCTCCGTTAAAAGCCGATCAGCTGATTCATACGCATAAATGTACATGGATATTTGGGTAATCTTTTGCTCCATTGATATGTTCGAATTTTGGCTGTCCAGCCCTTCTGTCGACATCCCATAACATGCTTCGCTGAGGCATCCAAGGTTCCCGGTGTGACACCTGCATTGTATCCCTCAGATCAAGCTATCGATCTGAAAATAGAAGAGTTCTTTTTCCTAGTCTGGAATATCATTTTCTCATTTCAACTTTGACCGTTTCGTATCGGGTAGTCGGTTCTGTCTACCACAAATCAGCGCGGAGACAAATGGGTTTTTATACGACCTGTTTATTCCTCTTCTCTGAGAATTCGAATTTTTGTCCAGTCTACCGTGTGAAGAGTCAATGCAAGGAAGAGATAGTGTTTTATTGACATGATACACTACATGATACTACACCGCTGAGAACTCTTCGAAATCCACCTTTTTCGCCCTTCTTAGAACTTATCAGGTAGGGTAGACCCCGACTTTCCATCAGCCTTAAACTCCACGTGGACATCAGATTGCAAGTAAGTTAGGGAGTATTCTCATTTGCAAATACATTGGACTTAACGAGAGACTCAGGTGAATCTTCAATGATATTCCTCAACCGAAGGTATTTTATCACGGCCACTTCATGTTTCACTTTGCACTTATTCGGAATATCACAGTATATTTTAGATAGAACACACTTCTCACGGGGTTGCTGAAATACCTTTGAATCCTTACAACTGGTTTCGTCCTTCGTGGAGCTAATCAGGTAGACTCATTCCACGAGTTCGTAGGAACTCTATGTTCCACTTGATCAAGTTGGCGAGACACATTGATAGATGGAAATGAAAATATCATGAACGAGAGATTAATTTGAGTCTCTCGTTAACACCACTATAATCTGCAAATATGGGTTTTCCGTCGGTGAACGGAGTCCTTCGGTTTAGTACCTGTTGGGCGACGAAGATTGACGGTGCCACCCTCTCCGTTATTGTGCTAAGGTGAGATCAATGTAGTGGCAGCCCTTGGGCTGCCTGGGGCCTTTGGTTGTTCCGTTACAGTGGGTTCTTCAGAGAGGAGACAGCCATTTGTGTCCCCTCTGTGGTCCCTCTTTATGACGATTACGCATACTTCTGTCCATCAAAGTATGCTGCAACACTACGTTTGCTGTCACTATTACTGTCGCTTAACTCAGACCAGTAGCCGTTCTCTTCAGGCCTTTTCAAATTTTTGTTGGATAATGTTTGTCCCACTATAAGCGTGCGTAGCTTAATTCTTAGAATATTGTGTTATTGTTGTTTGTCACAGTCATGTATCCAGAATGTTAACCTTCGTAGCTGGGGTTCCAACGACTTACACTAGTCCGTAAGAAACGATTTTACGATCATGCATCATCAGTTGGCTGTTTTTCGCTCATAGATGTACATAGCTCTGACGGTTTACTCTTTCCTCCTTCAGGCAATTCCTCTACACTTCAAACACCTATACAAGAAAGCTCCGTTCGTCTTGAAGGTAAGAACGTTCGTTGTTGTTGTGGGTCCTTTTTCACCTACGCATTTCGTTATGTTAATACGGACATCCTGCGCCTTACTACTTATTTCTGTTACTTGCAGATATCAGGCACTGCATTGGCGATACGTCCGTGGTTGACTTGAGAGAAGCATCGAGACACGGTTTGCCACCAGATCTAGTTGCTTCTGTGTCAGGCGATGTAAGTAATTCTGGTCTGGTTTCGTACATGTAACTGACCCTGCAGATGGTTGTCGAGTCCACTGATTTTCGAGATATGTGGGTCATATTGCGTGATGATTCGATGGGTAACAGTAATCGGTAACGGATTCGCATTGACTTTTTGGGTACAGTTCTAATGACATTGTCTCCTTTGATTTCGTCCGCGTAGTATAAAAGGCATGCCTGTTATTGAGGAGATAAGAATGACTTACAATGCAGTCCTGCGCGAAATGACCCTGTTATGCCTACTGTACGCATGCGGCTACTGGACGAACCATCGTCATTGTATAATGACCCTAAGTTAGTCTGCGAACACTAGCACCCGTGATTAGACAACCCACATCCAGTTGTTCTGGTACTGGATGAAACTACTCTTAATTAAAAAGAATGCTTTATTGACTTTGCCTTTGTCCACGCTCCTGATTTGGGGATATGAGTAAGCACCTATCAACTTAATGGAAAATCTCATTATTCTGGGTTCGCTTGATCCATCTGGCAAAACCTTTACCATGCAGTACACCCTACAGCTTACACGCGTGCGATGACTCCTTTCGATACTGACCGCTTTTAGTCACTTCCATTAAGCTCTCTTTCTGATCGCTAGAGAACGAGTTGTCAGTAGTACATTGAAATATCGATATCTCGGGTGTATTTATTAGTTGGCTGTTTACCTGTGCGCGAATCTCAAGTAATTCTTAACTACTCTGACTTCAGCGGAGTATAGTACAAATGACTACAAGGATTACCAATAGGGTCCTCCGTCTCAGGGTTTACTGGAGAAATCGCAATGTGAAGGCGAATTCTACTGCCTAACAAATCCTAAAAAATGGATTATCTATTGGTTCGCTAATTTCATTGTCGTCGAACAAACCAGTAATTGTTCTTTCTGGTTTCCAATTCGCAACGGAAGGAAAAATTGTGGAAAACTGGTTTTCTGAGCGTCCGTATCATAAGACTAGCAAATGGTCATCTGCAAATCGATGTCTGGAAAAAGGTGGCGCATAAACAACACATTCTGAGCTACCAAAGCGTCCATCCAAGCTGTCACAAGCAGGGCTGCATCTGGACACTGTTCAGTTGGATTAAAACACAATGGACTCCAGCACTGAAGAATGGAAATCCATACGGTCTCTCAGTAAAACAAATTTTTGGGGAATTACATCTGCAAGAAGGGCAATACATCTGTCTGAACAAACAAATCGCACTTTCTACACCAAGAAAATTCCTGAAATGGCTTAAAGACTTTCACAATGTTATTGTGCAACAGTAGCCAATCAACCTGCAAATATTTTTTGATGAGTACTGTCAAACCCAAAGAAAAACTGGCTCTCATAATGAAGACCAATGTTTTATACAACATTCAATGTAGCCATTGCGAGAAACACTATACTGGACTAACGAGAAGGAATCTTTCTATCACCCTTTCGATTCATAGCTGTCATTCACCTACTACAAAGCATGAAGACTCAAGTACTGCCCGGTTTGTCGGCATTCGAAAAGTCATCATTGTCATCATCATCTGCAGCTGTAAAAGCAGCTTGCAATGGTTACGGATGCCACAGTTTTGTTCACCGATGACTTGGGGCGTGGGCAAATAGCTACGTATTGGAGGCGGTAATCGATATAATTGATGCGTCAATACAGTACTATGAGTGGACTTGATTGAGGAGATAAGCAGGATAATCTGTGCATTGAAGTCAAAAGCTTGGATGCATGCGCGCCATTCGACGCGCGAATAAGCCAATGTCTCTAACTATTGATGTGTCCTGTCTCGGTGCTACCATCCAGCGAGATGGCCCAAGTGGTTAGCGCGCGAATTTACTGACCGGAAGGTCCGTGGTTCGAACCCGACTTCTGCCTCTCGACTCCCCTGTCTAGGCTTGGGCAACCTGGTAGTATCCCAGTCCTCGGGCTTCGTTCGGGTAGCATGGCAGTTAGGCACCGAAAGGGTGCCTTCCAGCGAGACGTATACAACCAACGCAGCTAAGTGTGCTGGTACTTGTTTTCATACTTCATTGCTTGGTCTCCCCGGGCTCGTCCCCACTCTTCGTGAAGTTATGGAAAAAGGGCTGTTCGCAGAAGGTTGATAACTGGCATACCGAGCACGTGACCAAACCAACGCAGTTAACCTACTGCAAGCGAGTTATTTCCTCCGAAAACCATTCGATGTACCCCAGCATTCCTGATCCGGAGTCCCCACCAGGCTCGGGCAATGCTCCTAGGACATCAGTTGTCAAACAGTGGAAGCTATTTCATCAGCGCGCAGCGGCCAGGTTACTGACCCCCATAACCATATAGAACGCACCACGGCATTACAAACTCGACGCTTGACGGATAAGCTGATGTCATGTCTACGACACAGGGATGCAGGTCCTTCGCTAGACCTCCAGTCGATCTTATCACTTAGTATAGGGCACTGCCGTTTCCGGTAAGAAAAGCCTTCTCCATCTCCCAAGCTTTCGATTTCCACCAGAGCTCTAGTCTTTCCCTACTGTTTGGCGTTTGACGGATTTCCTCGCGCTATCATGATCGTTGCCTCCAGACCAACTTGTAGCACGATTACTCGTAGTACGAGGTCTCGCCGCTCTTGGTCTGACTGCTCCTTTTTGGTTTTCCTGGCATGGTAGCATCTTGTGGAACAAAGTCCCGGCCAGTATAGCCGACGAGATCATCGCAGTACCCGAGCCAGACCACCAGTCAAGGTGGCATCTTTACGTCGGGAATCGAAATGTCAGTGCTGTGTTCGAACCGCGAACTTTCCAGCCAATAATCTGGTGCCCCAACTGGTGAGCTGTTTTGAGCTCCCGGACATGGATTATAAATCCAACCAATAAATCGAACGGCCAAGTCGAACAAAGAATGAAAAACCTTTCTGTGCATTTGATTTACCGATAAACACGCAGTGGTGCAGTAAATAAAACCATAACTCGAACTAGCGAACAGTAGACCACAACACAATTCAAATGCGGAACGGACCGAGCAAAGGCCAGAACGAAAGTATATTGGACCGGGCAGTTAACTTTAAGCAACCCACACCACAAGGTGATTCGAATTTCGAAGTGACCAATTAAGACAGGCAAAGAATTCATTTGATGAACCAATCGAATGCAAGGTATACGGACCACGAATTGCTAACAGCCCTACGAGAAAGCTGTTTCAGTTATTATTATTATTATTATTATTATTATGGGCTTTCCCTAAACTCTTTACTGTTTGGCGTTTGACGGATTTCCTCGCGCTATCATGATCGTTGCCTCCAGACCAACTTGTAGCACGATTACTCGTAGTACGAGGTCTCGCCGCTCTTGGTCTGACTGCTCCTTTTTGGTTTTCCTGGCATGGTAGCATCTTGTGGAACAAAGTCCCGGCCAGTATAGCCGACGAGATCATCGCAGTACCCGAGCCAGACCACCAGTCAAGGTGGCATCTTTACGTCGGGAATCGAAATGTCAGTGCTGTGTTCGAACCGCGAACTTTCCAGCCAATAATCTGGTGCCCCAACTGGTGAGCTGTTTTGAGCTCCCGGACATGGATTATAAATCCAACCAATAAATCGAACGGCCAAGTCGAACAAAGAATGAAAAACCTTTCTGTGCATTTGATTTACCGATAAACACGCAGTGGTGCAGTAAATAAAACCATAACTCGAACTAGCGAACAGTAGACCACAACACAATTCAAATGCGGAACGGACCGAGCAAAGGCCAGAACGAAAGTATATTGGACCGGGCAGTTAACTTTAAGCAACCCACACCACAAGGTGATTCGAATTTCGAAGTGACCAATTAAGACAGGCAAAGAATTCATTTGATGAACCAATCGAATGCAAGGTATACGGACCACGAATTGCTAACAGCCCTACGAGAAAGCTGTTTCAGTTATTATTATTATTATTATTATTATTATTATTATTATTATTATTATTATTATTATTATTATTATTATTATTATTATTATTATTATTATTATTATTATTATTATTATTATTATTATTATTATTATTATTATTATTATTATTATTATTATTATTATTATTATTATTATTATTATTATTATTATTATTATTATTATTATTATTATTATTATTATTATTATTATTATTATTATTATTATTATTATTATTATTATTATTATTATTATTATTATTATTATTATTATTATTATTATTATTATTATTATTATTATTATTATTATTATTATTATTATTATTATTATTATTATTATTATTATTATTATTATTATTATTATTATTATTATTATTATTATTATTATTATTATTATTATTATTATTATTATTATTATTATTATTATTATTATTATTATTATTATTATTATTATTATTATTATTATTATTATTATTATTATTATTATTATTATTATTATTATTATTATTATTATTATTATTATTAATTAGTCACACCAAGTGACAGGTACTTTTTATGAGCCACAGTCGCAAGCAGATAGGGAAGAACCACCTAAGCAAGTGCGCACTGGTGATATCCCCTGCGCTGTTGACCAAGGTTGTGTAAAATGAATGGATGCAGGGAAAGCAGTTTTGCCCCAATCTGCTAACTTAACTGCGTCTTTTCTATAATTGTGTAAACGCTATGCCAAAATGCATTCCAGTTAAAAAAAGGGCACCAAATTGCACCGACTCCTGCGGTACCCGGCCTCTGAAGCGACCGTTTAGGGCTGAACCGTTCAAACCTTATAATGTCTCAGTTGGAGGTTGGAGAACAAGGCACAATGCAGATCAGCCATCAAACTCTGTATTTAGACTTGATGCCCCGTCAGACAGCCCAACTTTGTACACAGAATACATTCTTTTCATAGCTGAAGCTATGTCTCATCAGTGCAAGTCAGTCTGTATTTCCTAATACCAGACTTATAGGAGAAGTCCGGTGTCAGTGGTTAACTGATGGACTCATGAAACCGATGATACCGCCCATTATAACCCTCACCTTACATCAACTGTATTATTAGTGATAGGATTGTTCCGATGCTTACGATTTTTTCCTCGTCCCCTTCAGAATGCATCGTCCTCTGAACCTGGTTCTGATGCCGAAATCGCCGACTTAGACGCTAGTGTCCTGGCCCTTGAAAGAGCTTGCGCAAAGCTCACCAAACGCCCAGGCACGAAATCAGGTGACAGGAATGGATCAGGTTTGTACGGCTAACAGATTTTTTGTCATAGTTCTGCTCGTTGGGGCCACAATTCATTCTCAATATGGACGACAAAAATACCCTAGTGGCAAACACGCTGGGTATAACAACCCTCCTGACTCACTGAGCAGTTTTGTAGACTGAATAGGAAACACCCGGAATTCCTCGTTTTGGTCCATAGTTACATCTGATTACCCTGTTTTCTTCACTGTCTGTTTGGATGTATTCAGTTTGACAACGATCAATACCCCATTTCTGGATCGTATTTTTGTGATTTCCGCTGTTCGGGTCCAATTTCATAGCCAGAAAATTTGGCAGTTCTCTCACACTGATATTTTCGGGAAGCATGGTAAACGGCTGTTGAAACACCATCTTCGCGGAACCAGTCAACAAACCTCCGCTCAGTTTAAAGAACGTCATCTATCCATGGTAACTGATACTGACCAACATAGTTTAGCATGGCTTCACATCACAGTTGCGTTTGGCAATTTACGTTTATCTGCATAATTACAATTTCGCCTGCGTTATTTCCTAGTCCCTCGATTGCACTTTGGTCTACTGGCTGTCAAATTCCATAATAGTTTCACCGTTTTTACCCGAAGTGTGATTTCCAGGTATTTTGGTCATCGAGGTGGCTCAGTGGTCCGTGGTTCAAATCCAGCCTCTGCATCTCAGCTTCCCCCGTCTAGGCTTGGGCAACCCGGCGGTATCTCCGTCCTGGTACTTCCTTCGGGTAGCGCGGCAGCTAGGCACCGAAATGGTGTTACAGCTGGACGATTTTTTCCTCGAGAATGTCCCCAAGCCTATCTTCCATTGAACCCTGGAATACAACCGATTCCATTCCTTATCCGTGACATCAGCCTTTGAAAGCGATCACTTTAATCGGTTAAGGACATCCTAATATTCTGTTGGCACTTGCAATTTTTCTAATGTAAACTATCTATCTATGAGCAGAAATGCCCCAGAGGGACAGTGAACCTTGCACCGTTCTTCCGGCCGTGTTGGAAATCCGAGACCACACATATCCCGCGAGCATCTAGAAGGCTTCAAACCAACCAGCTTCTGAATACGAGCCTGAGTATCCGTGATTCCGATACGGCGTTGTAGGATATAGCATTCACTTGGTTCACGTCGCGCAATTTCATGTTAACCGGCTCCCCAACTGTCGCCTCAGATAGAGCATCAATGTGACCTGTAGGATTTCCCCTTTCTTAGGAGAGTCCGTCGGTTGTGAAGAGACCCTGTGGTTATATACGTGGATTCCATCCTTCAAATAAACTCAGTCTATTTTTAAAAGCTGAGAAGCACTGTATTGCTGTTCCTCTCCCTTTGAGAATCATGGACAGTGCATGTCCCGCCTATCTTCGCAACAATTCGAAATTACTTCTAAGGTTTTCTGCTTATGTTGGTTGCATTTGGATGGTGAAATCCAGATTTGAAACATAAACATCTTACTGCATTACCGCACCTCAGTATTTCTAATGTCATTTAATTCTTCATCCATAGAGAGCAGTGAATCTACGGTGAGTCTCCCATGCTTTCATATATCGCTTTGATTTCTATTAATGTCTCTACCTACAACCACTGTAGATGTTTGTCAACGTTTTCTTTAATGTTTCTCATCGCTCAAACATTTTGTGGTGCAGAACCTCTAATCTCTAGTAGAAAGCCGTGGTACTCCCTCGGAGGAGACTGTCTCTGCCCGTGTGTCAATTTACTGTCATCTAGTAGACCGCCGAATAAATCAGCGATACATTCAGAATTTGTTGATTTCGAAGCTTTCACTCACGACTTGTGAACGCGCGAGTTACGGCGCGGAATCTCCGAGCAGTGGAGTGATACCTTGAAAGTCAGTATTGGTGATCTGTCGTGTTTACCCTGGCCCCAGTAGGCGACTCTGATACCTGATCGACCTGGAAACTCATGTTGAAGCTCAGTCCCATACTCGTCCCGTGTATGGATTTGCACCGGTATGAGCAGAAAGCTCGCGGATAATTATATTAGAAACCATCCTGGTAATGAATTTTAGTACCATCTAGGTCAAAAGTTGATCATCTGGACCATATACACCAAAAACGTGGGAATGCGTCAGCTACGCAATCGGCACCGAGATACTGTGGTGGATTCTTCACAGACCATCAGTAGTATATTTCCACTTCCTCTTTTAGCGGCCCTTGAATTTACTATTTGACCAAATGTTTATATTCGTGAATATGTAGGGACTACACGCTGCACGTAGCGTTCAGTGACTAAACATTTTTCTGCTAACAACTCCGTGTGAATGTAATTTCCTCCACATTTTCACCCACATACCTCTGCGCCACTCTCACCAGTTGTGAACCATAACCACGTTGTCAGTGCTTCGCTACCTGCAGACTTATAATCCTTCCCCCACTCTCAGCCTGAACGTTTTTTCTGTTTGATCCATTGTTTCCGTGTTTTTCTGTGGCTTTTAGAATACCGAAACCCACAGGCCACGGAAATTAGCCAAAAGAAAACCAAAGCGCACTCTTGAAACTGTGGATGATGATTGGTCGATCGAAGAAGAACTTCAAGATGAGGTGTCTGATGGGGAGGCTTCTTCAATCAAAGACTTGATACCGGCCGATGAAACACCTGTGGACCAACAAGAACTCCGATCTGCTCTTCTAGATCAGGCCGATTCGGATTATCGATCAGATATGACCTACCGTGCTCGTTTACTGCAAAGCAGTTCCGATGACGAAGACGAACAAGATAAAAATGTAGATTCTGAAACTGAGGGTTCGGCCGAGACCGAGGAAGCTTTAGAAGGACACGAGGAAAATGTGAGTAAACTCAAAAATACCCAAAAGAGCTCCAAGCCAGCAACCGCGTCGAAATATACTGGTGCGCTTCGTCAGCTGATGCAGCCCTTGTCTAGTATGGATAAATCTGAAAAATCCTCGTACGTTCTTTTTTATCTATAATAACCGTTGGTGATGATGCCCTTGTTTTTTGGAGACTGCCTTAGAAACATGGTGCAAAATGGCAGTACAAATAGCTGACCCGATTTATTACCATCAATACTGTCATTATTACTGTCATCAGTAGTGTTAGCGTTAGTATCAGTTCTCTTAATTGGCGCATCCATTTTCAAGGCGCGGTTTGCTGTCCTTGTTGTGGTCCTGGCTACCGTGTACTTCTGCATTAGCTGCCATTGTCCACTATAATTTCAGAAAGGATTTTCAGATATTGAAAGAAGGTTTTGTCTTTGTTATAATCACTATCACCACTGCCTACTACTGCAGCAGTTTCAGTTAGCAGATCTTATCTTGTCGGACAGATAACGTCACATCATGTATCTGTCGGAAAATGTAAATTGACCCTATAAGCAGCTTTCTATATTCGAGTAACCTCTCTCAGAGCGGGTAAACCTCGTTTCTTGTAGTAATCAGTCTAGTTCTTGATCTGAGCCAGAAATTCCGACGCTTTCTGGATGCGCCATTGACAACGGGCATTCGGCCAATACTGAGTCATGATTGACTGTTGGGTCCAGACTTTCGACCTATCAGATCTCGGCTCGATGCTGGACCGGCAAGCGTCCCGAATTTTTGGCCAATCTTGCGTGGAATGGACTTCTCGACCGTAGCAGCACCTGACTGCGAACGGTGAAGAGGGATCCGTGTGGAGTTCCGCCTAACAGTTCTAGATTTTTTTCACGATTGAAACCCTGTGGATGCTGATGTCGAGCAAACACTTGTGCCTCAGCTTCTTGTTATGGAGCCAACGATCGACCCCTTCTGAAAAATCTGCTGTGAACATCAGGATTTATTGGTAACACTTCAATATGCGGTCTTCGTTGCACAAATCTTGTCACTAGGTTGACGCTCGAAAATGCTGATTCGTAGGTCGTCAAATCGCGACGTGTCAGTAGATGCCAGCGCGTGTGGATTGTGTGGCATACCAATGTGGGCAAGACAATGGCTGATGGGGTGATTATTAAAGTGAGCGTTATGCTGGGTCACCATAACACAACGATCGATTGCCAACAACTCGGCAGTCAATCAAATCCAACTCCACCAGATAATGATACATTGGCACCTACTCAGTGCGAAGGAATTTCGCATCCGACCGGACTACAAAGTGTCTGGCCTCTTCCAAGTGATGCAATGTCTGTCAGCCTGGAGCATATTTTCGAATGTGACCAACATAAGAAAGTGACTAAGATGGTTACCTCAGGTAGGATACTGAATTTTTCAAACTACATCAAATTAAAGGCCTTATTTTTTGAAGGTACCTTGTTTCGTAATCTACCCAGGTTAGGTTATCATCTACATATTAACCCACGTCTGTCTATTAGTGGTCGTCCTAGAACTTTTCCATTCAGTTGACGTTTGCGTTTTTCACACCAAACATGTTTTTTACCGATACGAACCGCCCATTCGTGAATTTCACTTCCATGATCGTCTTGCATTGCATTCGTCAAGGTCGAAAAATTCCGAGCAGTCGATGCAGTCGGACAAGGAAGAAACACCTGCCGAATCCGAAAAGGGGGAGGATAAGGCAACGAATGCCAAATCCCGTCAACGTACTAAAACTACTGACACGAATCCTGATAGGTGGTTTTCCAGCGATGATTCTGATTCGGAGCCTTCTTCATCCTCATCTTCGGGAAAGCAATTTTTCGATACCACCAAACGACAGTTTCGACGGACAAACGGAAAATTCAAGAAAATATCAGCTCTGGACAGTGGAGATTCGAACAGCAGCAGCGAAGAAAGTATTAAACCCCGCAAAGCTCGGCGGAAGTTGGTAGCTAAGCCTGATGAAGTTGGTTCATCCGACGAAGGAATGCGTAGAAAGTACCATGATAAATCTGGCAAAAAGCCGACTGGTCCAAGGCGTTCCCGCCTCAAGCGCCAATCTGATGGTGAAAGCGCTGACGAGCAAGTGTCTGACGCGAGCGTAGTGGAAGTAAAAGTAACGTCAGCACCAGCTTCTGATGACAGCGACGCCGAGCGGAAAGGTAGGAAGAAAATACGGAAGATCTACACGAAGTCTCATCTGTCTCAATCAACCAAAACTGCTGAGGCAGAGGAGCGAGAACGCCGTCGCCGGATTGCGGACAGGCAGAAAATGGTATGTCCTGACCGGTTTGAGTCCCTCTCAAAGGTACCCGTTTTTCCAGTGATTTAACCGCTGTTTCTATGCTTCTGAATTGTATTTACTTGCCTCATTCCTTTCTAAGTTTGATGTTACTTCTTAAATTCGTCATTTTAAGCCTTAGTTTAATAGGCTTATATACACTTATGAGCACCGTTTTGCAAACTGTTTTACATACTCTCACGCGCGTACCATTGTCAGCCGTTACAGTGCATTGCTCCCGTTTTTTGTTCCCTCTACGCAGTATAATGATTGGGTTATCCAGGAAGGTGAAGGTATTGATGTGGTGACGAAGAAACTCATCTTGGAAAAGCCGACAGATGAATCCTCCTCGTCCCCAGCCACTGTGATTCGTGTGCATTCGGATATTTTGAAGCATTTGAAACCACATCAAGTCGAAGGTGAGCCCTAAATCTTCGTGTCCTCGTGATGCGTCTGATTTGGCTTGTTGTAGTGGTGTTCCGTGATGGTAGGCGGCTCTCACTGTCGTCTGGGAATTATGTGGTCCGCCACTTCAAGCCTCTGGTTTGAGTTACCGGTTTGTCTGCCTACTTCTTTCTCTGCGAGATACCCTCCTCTGTAACACCGTCGATGTGGATTAGCCTTATTCGAGCACGAAGCGCTCTAGTTCTTTGTGACAAGCTCAAGCATTTGGCTGAGTCGTAGGTACTTAGGCGCGTGATATCAATAAAGTAAACTAAGTGAGGATTCAGATGCGTCCAGCGTGTGTTGGTGGAGTATTACTAGGGCGCTTGTCTCGCCTGTCAAATGTTGAGTTGAAACCCCGACACTGTTTCGGATGGGGGCGAGATGGACCAAGTGGTTAGGGCGCGAATTTACTGACCGGAAGGTCCGTGGTTCGAACCCGACCTCTGCCTCTCGACTTCCCCTGTCTAGGCTTGGACAAGGCAGTATTTCAGCCCTCGTGCTTCCTTTGGATGGTATGGCAGCTAGGCACTGAAAGAGTCCTACAGCTGGATGAAAAAACTGCCTAGGATATGCAGTGCTAATGAACCCTTAGAACGAAACTCGAGTCCAGTGCCTCCACCCTTTGGTGTGAACTCACCGGAATAATTTAACAAGGGTTTGAGGACCAGTGTTCAAACGAGAGCGACGTGGCCGTGAATTTTACAAATCCAGCAAACCCACAAATAAACAACTGTCCTCTACAGAGCAGGTTACCTAACTTTGGTACCTAGCGGCATGCATCGTAGTCTAAAAACGGGGTCCACTGTGCTCCTTATGAGAACACAACAAATTTCGCGAGCAACCCTCAGCTCATCTTGCATGGTTCTGTTTCATCTCAAAAGTTAGTCGTACCTATCTTTAGTTCGTCTGTCTATTCTGCTTTTGGAATATGATTTTAGGTAGCCTGCTGTCATCATTCCACTCGACCAACGTTCCCATATATACCCAAACCAGAGTATCGTCCACACCCAGTTCTTCAGGTAGGTGCTGTTTTAATGATCCGCCTTAACACAGGACTTTTTAAGAGCACAACTGTGCCAGAACATATGTGATCACCGAGGTACGGATCACAAGGATTATTGGCTAACAAGATATGTGTGCCTCGAGTACAGGTCATGTATTGAGTTTCAGCTGTCGTAAATTGATATGAGAATCCCACACTGTCAGTTTTAAATATCGGTGATTTTAGAATTGTCTCTTTCACCTTTTGGCCTTGTTTCCTTAAGGTTACACTGCGTAAAGAGCGCTCAGCTAGGTACATACGTGGCTCGGCTCAAACCCGACGTAGCACTATCTTTCCTGTGTGGGGAGGGCATCGATGCATGTGTGGCCGGAAAGCTAGTAAAAAGATGCCACCCCACTTTCTCGGACAAGAAGACTGTTGCACATAGCGTTTACTGTCTTAGTTGGATGCACCAGAGAACCTGAACCTCGTACTTGGCTATCTTATTCGGTTATATCTTGTTCACCTGGAATAAGCCGTACCCGTTAAATAACACTAGTAGTTTGTATCCGTATGAATTCCTAGTTAGTCCGCACCCCTATGGGGCTTCTTAGTTGTGATGGGTACACAGCCTAGTTAATATTAACATTTTGTTCTGCCACTTGAATTCCAATCAGCTATCGATCCTTTGCTACTTGTCATGATTCCCGCCAAAATAGCCATCCCAGTCCGTTATATGTAGATGCATATTCTATCTCTTGCAAGCAGGGGTTTTTACTGAAATAATTTCAACAGCTCTTCCTCGAACCGAAAATTAGGCTTAACCTGTATGTGGACAAACACGCAAGCGACAAATCTGGGAAACTCCACTCACCTTTGTTGTCATTATGTTCACCTCACTCATCAGACTGAGACGATCCTGTTAGACAGTTCGTAGTCTGCCATTAGCTGGTGCTTCAATGCTTGGGCTCTTTAGTTATCTCATAACCCCAACAAAACAGACCAGCGCTCTTTGTCTCTACCCTCACTGTGAAACAGAGGGCACAAATAAATCAACATGAAACGAGCTTTATTACTGTCGTCCGCGTATGAGACTACACGTCAATCGTTTTTGTATTACCAACAGCAGTTTTACGTATTACCGCGTTACTTCGAGTCAAACGTCTCCCTAAGCAAGATGAGTCAGAATAATATAAGTGTGTTCTTAAGGAATAAGTCGACGTACCCATTCCAAACTTGAACCTATGAAATTTTAATTCAACTGATTAATCGCTCAGGCGTAATACCCCTTCTGTGCCTAGCTGCTCTGCCACCCGAAGAAACACGAGGGATGAAATACTTCCAAGTTGTCCAAGTCTAGACGGAAGCAGCCGAAATGCAGAGGCTGGGTTCCAACCACGGACCTTCTGGCCAATGAGTCTGCGCCTTAACCACTGAGTTACCTCGAACTCCTGTATAACCTGTGAAAACTTAATAATGAACGACACACATATGAGACTCTACCAACTGGTAGATGAGACTTTGTAAGCCGTTTACCTGTGGAAACCTGTTGGATGTTTGACCACTCGTAAGACTATATCACACATTTGCTGGAGCTTTGAAATCGCTTATGGTATTTGCCTCTTTCCCGGCGTAATACCCCTTCTGTGCCTAGCTGCTCTGCCACCCGAAGAAACACGGGGGATGAAATACTTCCAAGTTGTCCAAGTCTAGACGGAAGCAGCCGAAATGCAGAGGCTGGGTTCCAACCACGGACCTTCTGGCCAATGAGTCTGCGCCTTAACCACTGAGTTACCTCGAACTCCTGTATAACCTGTGAAAACTTAATAATGAACGACACACATATGAGACTCTACCAACTGGTAGATGAGACTTTGTAAGCCGTTTACCTGTGGAAACCTGTTGGATGTTTGACCACTCGTAAGACTATATCACACATTTGCTGGAGCTTTGAAATCGCTTATGGTATTTGCCCTCTTTCCCGTACTCTTATACAGCGGTTCGCTTTCTGTGGGACTGCGTAATTGAATCTGTGGAACGTCAACAGAAATCACCCAATGACTATTCCGGTGGGGCCATACTAGCTCACTGTATGGGTCTGGGAAAGTCCCTGTCCATAATAGCCTTTATTCACACTTTATTCTCCTATGTTGATGTGCTGAACCTCAAGAGCTGCTTGATCATTTGCCCGGTAAACACATTGCTTAACTGGAAACACGAATGGGAGCACTGGTTGCCTCAGGAAGAACCCATCGATATCTTCGAGTTGGCTTCGAAACCCGACAAGAAGCTTCGTGTAGATGTGCTCAAACATTGGTTCCGAAAGGTGAGTATACTAATTTCCACATCTGAACAACCTTTTGCTTACTTATGGTAACCGTAAGACAACAATGCTTCCAACCCGACATTCCCTATTTCAATAGATGCGGATACTTTCTCAGTAGAAACTGCGTTGATCTGCTTGCAGAGATCGGTACCGTTTATATCTTACCTTAAGTGAATCGACTACATTCATGCAAGTTCCTTTAGGAAAAATAGATGATTGTCGTGTCCCACAGTTATGTTGAGGTGACCCTTCGAATGGAATTAGTCATTCGAAGCGCAACTATGGAATAGCGAGTGCCTTTAGCGTGCACATTTGTTTCTCTAAAATGGGTTGTTTCATTCCGCTACCGCGTTGTCAACTTTTTTTCCAAGAAATATCCGTTAATAAACTTGGATACGTCATTTCCTAACTGAAATCGGAGGAGTGGAAAAGTTTGAGCGCTGTGAATTTCTTTAGCGAAGGTCACCCTTCTCAATTGAAACTGGACCTCGTCAGTGACCCCTTCCCCGGTGTTTCCACAACCCTGTTCGGACGTGAAGATTGCATATCTTTGACCGATGTTCCACAGCTCTTGTTGAGCTGTGTCCTACGTTAATGCTGGCTTTTCAGAATGCTTGAACGCCACGTCTTGTGCGCCTTACTCGTTCTGACTAACGGAAATGGTGACTGAAGTTACTCCACAACTGAGTAGTATCGTGGCTGCTGTGTCTGCTGACATCCAGATCCGCTAAACGTTACCTGACCCCAATGACGATACCACAACGTGGTGTGTGGCACCCTCCGCTATAAACGAGTCTCACACCGCACGAGAGTGACTTGGACTGCTGGTCAGCACTTTCCACCAACGAATTGGGGTGGCGGTCACTGGAAACCAAAGGGCGTTGCTGTCCTGCGGTTGCACTTGGATGTGAATAAGTAAGAGAAGCTAACTCGACGGGTGGGTGGTTGTGGTCGACCTTAGGTACAACGGCAGTTCAGACAGCTTTTCTGTCCATACCTACTGCCGTACAGTCTGCATATGGCTATGAAATGGTTACTGTTGGAATATCCACATCCTCCTAACATGGAAAGCCAGTCTCACTATACAAAACCTCTTCATCTACCAAGCTGAGATTGTTTATCTTTCGGACACGCAGATCGCTAACTTCGGGTCATGCTGCGTCAAAGCCCCCCAGCGTGACACATTCCTACTGGGTATACCGTAGCCGCCTGCACTCCCTTACTCTTAACAACCTCACCCACCATTCTCCACTCTCTTGGGGACCGGTGTAGTCCAAAATCTCTAGCTTCAAAGTTGGATCCAACTATCCTATCTGACTACGCCCCACTTCTATCAGACCTTTCTGTCAAAGCCGATTTCTATGCTGATCTACGACTAGTGAGATGCCTCGGTGAAAGACCAGATCGGTGGTTACTATGGTGACACCCGTCATCTTTTGGAGACGTAGTTTGAGACAAGCCCGCGAAAACGATGATCAGCTGACCAAATTTCATACCTTCAATAAACTCTTGGGATCTAACGCAATTCTTCAGCACTCGAGGAGGCGTATACTTACCCGATATTCCAACGACAGTCAGCTGCTTCCCGAACCGACTATCTTGGTGACATACCGATGAGTATCGTCCGCTGAAGAGTCGAAATCCAGTCTTGAGGGAGAAACCCAGGGTTAGTGTACCTGCAAGGTTTAAAAGTCACCTTACTGCTGGACACAAAGGATGATCTATGGGATGGATTAACGTGATGTACCTTCGAAACCCTAAAAGCGTCTCCAACTCTCCGAGACGATCACCAGTAGTCGGCTTCCCGCCAAGTTACCATTATCTTCCAGCTCGAGCAGTCTATATCGACGAGTTCTGGTCCTGCCTGAAGGTACCTGTACAACTGGCGGCTGCATCAGTTTTCGGATTTGCATCGCTGAATACCTTTCCACATATCTCAGCTATAGTCTAGATACGTATGTCCGGCGCTCCTCGTTTTCGCAGCTTACTTCGTCAGACCATAAAGGACCTTATAGTTGAGCTCAAAGAAGAGTATGAAGACAGCTACGGTTTGATCCTTTGTGCTTCAGTTCAACAAAATGATCTTCGGAACTCCGGTGAGATAATAACAGACTATAAGGGAAAGCTGAATGGTTGGACCGAACACCCTGGCTCATTACCTGGTCATCAGTCATCAACTATCCATCACAGACAACACAGTCTTCATGACGTACACCACTTCTTGGGACGTCGGTAGTCAAGCTTGCTTACTGGCTTGCCGATGCGAAGGTCTTCAGAAGTCACGACAGAAATCTTTCGGACCTCTTCACAAATTGTTCTACTTTTCTGCCGAAGTATTTCCAGTGGATAGAGACATCTCTGTACCACTCTTTACCCAAAAAAGTCGATAGAATGGTACGTGAGAACTACGGAATGTCAGCCTGATAGATATCACTGTCGAAACCCTTGTCATAGTTCGGCTGCGCCACTTCCGACAGCCAATACGGTTTCATACACGATGTAATCAAGGAGGCCGACGTCCAGGGACAGCTTGTACCGACTAAATATTTACCCCATCCCATGGTATGGAACACCACTGCAAGTCCCGGGAACTTAGTACCACTTGCTGCATTGACTTCCAGGTCATCATCATCATCATCTCCAGTTGTAAAAAACGCGTATACGTTGTATGGTGATTATAGCTGCCACATTTTCGTCCAATGATCTAGAAAGATAGGGGTGAGTAGCTACGCAGTAGGGGAGTTATCCGATACAGGGATGTCAGTGGACTTTTCACTGGGAGAAATAAGGCAACGGTTTGGGTACATCCGCGCTATTGAGCACGCGACTTGGTCATGTCTATCAATGTCTTTAACCATTGATGTGTCCCTGATTTCCATGTCAATCGGGAGCCTTTAAAGCTGCTGACATACCAGATAAGTTTCTGCATCTCATCCGATTCTACCACCCAAGCACAATATCCACCATCAAATTCTACGGGAATGAGAAAACGGTTTTTTCTTTGAACTCCTATACCGCCCGCTTTTTTGCTGTTTTCCAATTTCGCAATCGGTAGCGTACCCTCAGTGACTCCCTGGGGTTACAACTGGACCTTAATACATGAGTTATGGACTTCGATATTGCCGGTGCTCTCGTCTTCCTGAGCAAAGCTGCAACAGAAATGTACCCATTCCCTGATAGCCTTGACCACGGCGCTTCTCCTGAAGTAGGTGCTGAAACTCAAAATTTGTTAATACAAACATAGACACACTCAATGAGTGTGGTAACCACAGGGGGATCAGCTTGACCCCAGTTGTAGCGAGACTGTTGGCGTCAATTGTGCTTCGTCGCCTTACGGTGGCTCGTGAGATACTGACTCGAGAGCAGCAAGCGGGATTCCGGCCTGGTAGGGGTTGTGTTGACCAAATCTTCACACTGCGCCAGGTGCTAGAACAACGCCATACGTATAAGCGACCCACGATTCTAGTATTCCTGGATTTCCGAGGCGCATTCGACTCGGTTGATCGGTCTGTTCTTATCGAGACGCTTGCCCACCAAGGAATGCCCCGGAAGTTTGTAAACATAATAC